AAAGTGATAATTCAAAGTGAATTTTAAATTTAACAAACAAAGCATCTGAACTGAAGCAAAGCTGGTTTAGAGAATATTTTCAGTTCAACTATTTTGAACTTAAATTTGAAATTCACTTTGAATTACAAATTTAGTGAATAACCCTGTATATTCTGCTTGATGCTGAACACATTAAATATCTGCATATGTGTTATTACTGGTAATGTGTTATTACCGGGCCCTGAAATCCTTCAGAACAAGACCAAGCTTGAGTTGTTCATTTTTCACATAAGGACCAAAGTGATTTTTGCATTTTTTCCATCTTTCTCATTTACTGCACCAACTCAGATTATATATTGATTTTATAAAATACAAAATTGATTTTTTGATGAGATCTATATATATATATATCTATATCTATCTCATGTCATAAATTTTTTTTTTTCAAAAATGCAACAGCAAAAAAAACAAAAACACCTTTTTTCCCCAACAGATTTGTCAATAATGTGTCCATAATTGGTGAAGCTTAACAAAAGTATTAAATATGAATCCATTTCTTTGTTCTGATTTACAGAGTATACAATATGACTAGGATTACAGTTTAATTTGGTAATTACAGGTCACAAAATACAAGGAGTACAAGGGGGCGGAGCCTGCCCGCCATATGAATAGGAAGCATATCCCAGGAGCTCAACAGCAAAAAGCTATTATTTAGGCCCTTTACAAGCTATACTGCCCGCATCCCTCAACTTACACTCGCCTGAAGTGACACTGTTGTGGGCTCTTGGTGGAGTCTGTCCAGTTTCCGGTCCAGTCATGTGGGGCGGACCTGTCACGAGGCAGACCTGCGGCCTACTAGCAGATGGTAAAGGGGACGTGGCCGACCCCTCCACCTGTTCCCTAACTCTGCGGGTCTTCCACTACCCTTTCTACCCCTCCACCCCCCCCGTTGGTGGGGGTTATCCGGCATATATCTTCAGAGCTGTGGTGAATGTCTGCCGGCATCTACAGGCAAACAAATGCCAGGCCATCCAACCCTTTCCAAAATGGCCCACGCTATATGTTCGCAGGCTTCCCAAGACACACTGTACCTAGTTTTGGAGCGCCTAAACAGCCTGTTTGAGGATTTCTGGTCCAGACTCAGGAACCGCATGACAGCATCAGGAGGTGAGCCATCAATACCTTGTTTGCCTCCGTCCTCCATGCTGGGCACTTTCATTGCTGGGATGGGGCTTCCCTTAGAGGGATTCGGAGTGGATCATGGCTGAACAGAACCGGGAAATCAAGGCAGATTAGGCTGAAGCAACCTTGACGCTTAGGTCAACGTAAAGCACATCGAAGAGGGCTTAGACCTCATACACGACGGGCAACTGCCACTGCAGTACAGAAACTTCTGTTTCCGGTACCCGGCCGACTGAAGGGACGTGCTCACTGAGTGAGCACTTCCTGTCAGTCTGCCGGCGGCCGGGTACCGGAATACAGAAGTTCATATACCGCGTTCCACACCGCCCGGCCACGCTACTTCGAGTGAGCGGCAGGAGGGAGTGCTGTGCGTAACTATTCACCACCCTAAAGTTAATACTTTGTAGAGCCACCTTTTGCGGCAATCACAGCTCCAAGTCACTTTGGATAAGTCTCTATGAGCTTGCCACATCTTACCACTGGGATTTTTGCCCATTCCTCCTTGCAAAACTGCTCCAGCTCCTTCAAGTTGGATGGTTTGCGCTTGTGAACAGCAATCTTCAAAGGACCACTATAGTGCCAGGAAAACATACTCGTTTTCCTGGCACTATAGTGCTCTGAGGGTGCCCCCACCCTTGGGGTCCCCCTCCCGCCAGGCTCTAGGGGGAGGAAGGGGTTTAACTTGCTTCTTTCTCCAGCACCGGGCGGGGAGCTCTCCTCCTCCTCTTCAGCTGAATGCGCGCACATTCAGCCAGTCCATAGGAAAGCATTCACAATGCTTTCCTATGGACGCTGGAGTCTTCTCACTGTGAAAATCACAGTGAGAAGCGCAGAAGCACCTGTCAATGAGACAGCCACTAGAGGATGGATTAACCCATTTATAAACATAGCAGTTTCTCTGAAACTGCTATGTTTATAGAAAAAAGGATTAAACCTAGCTGGACCAGGCACCCAGACCACCTCATTAAGCTGAAGTGGTCTGGGTGCCTATAGTGGTCCTTTAAGTCTGACAACAGATTTTCTATTGGATTCAGGTCTAGGCTTTGACAAGGCCATTCCAACACATTTACATGTCTTCCCTTAAACAACTCAAGTGTGGCTTTAGCGGTGTGTTTGGAGTCATTGTCCTGCTGGAAGGTGAACCTCCGTCCTAGCCTCAAATCACGCACAGAGTGGTACAGGTTTTGCCCAAGAATATCCCTGTATTTAGCACCATCCATCTTTCCCTCAACTGACCAATTTCCCAGTTCTGCTGAAAAACATCCCCACAACATGATGCTGCCACCAACATGTTTCCGTGGGGATGGTGTTCTTTGGGTGATGTGATGTGTTGGGCTTGCGCCAGACATAGCGTTTTCTTTGATGGCCGAAAAGTTCAACTTTAGTCTCATCAGACCAGAGCACCTTCCTCCATGCATTTTGGGAGTCTCCCACATGCCTTTTCGCAAACTCAAAACGTGTCATTTTGTTTTTTTCTGAAAGTAATGGCTTTCTTCTGGCCCCTCTGACATAAAGCCCAACTCTATGGAGCGTACGGATTATTGTCATCCTACGTACAGATACTCCAGTTTCTGTTGTGGATCTCTGCAGCACCTCCAGGGTTACCTTAGGTCTCTGTGCTGCCTCTCTGATTAATGCCCTCCTTGCCCCATCTGAGTTTTGGTTGGTGGCTATCTCTTGGCAGGTTTGCGGTTGTGCCATGTTCTTCCCATTTGGTTGTGATAAATTTGATGGTGCTCCTGGGGATCATCAAAGATTTGGATTTTTTTTTTTTTTATTATAACCTAACCCTGACTTTTACTTCTGAACAACATTGTCCATTACTTGTTTGGAGAGTTCCTTGGTCTTCATGGCAGAGTTTGGTTAGTGGTGCCTCTTGCTTAGGTGTTGCAGCCTCTGGGGCCTTTCAAAAAAGGTGTGTATATGTAATGACAGATCATGTGACACAGAGTGCACACAGATGAACATTATTTCACTAATTGTGAGACTTCTGAAGGTAATTGGTTGCACCAGAGCTTTTTATGGGCTTCATAACTAAAGGGGTGAGAATACATACGCACATGCCAATTTTCTGTTTTCTATCTCTAAAAAAATAGTTTTATGTATATATTTTTCTCATTTCACTTCACCAATTTAGACTATTGTGTTCGGATCCATCCCATAAAATTCAGATTAATAAAACATTGCACTTAAGGCTGTAATGTAACAAAATAGATAAAAAGTCAAGGGGGTGAATACTTTTGCAAGGCACAGTATATCTCATGTAGTAACATCATTTGTGATTTTTGTGGGAAAAGCAAGTCTTGGCTTGACTGGTGTGCAGATTTTTGCTTAACATTGTATTAATAAATATATATATATATATATATATATATATATATATATATATATATATACACACACACACACACACACCTTTTATCTTAAGAAACTTTTTATTTTTACAGATGCAGGGAGACTGCCTGTTAGTTAAGGCAGTCCCCCTGCAGGCAGCACTAGGAACGCCTATTGTGGCCATGTGACCACTCTTTCAGATCGCTCACATGGCCCGCGGTGGCCTAATTAGCCGAGGGGGGACTATCTGGGCTGTCAACCCTGATGGAACGGCAGCGATCAGGTAAGTACTAAGAACTTTGAGGATGTACTAGGTACGCCTGCGGTCGTTAAGGACTTTTTGTCAGACGTACCTAGTACGTCCTCGGTCTTTAAGGGGTTTATACACGTTATTTCCCCCAATTTAACGCATTGCCCCCACTCCAGCCACTTTAATACACTGCCCCCCTCCATCACTCAAAATTAATACACTGCCCCCTCCCTCCCTCCCTAATTTAAACACACTACACAGGAAAATCCCCCAAGCTCCTCTTCAACTCTCTTAAGATGAGCCGCCCGTCCTCCAGCTCCAGAGACGCTCCTCTGGCACTGCGAGCAGGAGAGAAGGGGGAGTGGCTGGCCTGCTCTGCAGACAGACAGACAGACAGACACTCTGCTCTCTTGTGGCAGTGGGAGGGAAGACAAGAATCAGACAGGAAAGAGCTTTCCTGTGTTGCGGTTGATCGCAGCCACAAATATATTTATAGGGGGCCGCAAGTTTAACATGCTTGGTGTAGGTCATTACACGAGTGCCTATGTATTCATGCCCTCCCACCCAACTATTCTGTGTTCATTGTGACAGTCCCAAGTTTTTTTTCTCTGCCATCCTGCTTCTAAAGACAGCAAAGACAAAGCCCATGCACAAGCTCAGCATTAGACAGATATGTGCTACTCATTGAAAACATGTGAGAGAACATCAACTAATTGGTATACAAAGCCTCGGATTGGCCCAGCCAGGGCTGAGCAAAACTGCCAGCAAGAACACGATGATCACAGTTATTTTAGAAGTAATTTATTTTTACAACACAGAAAGCCTTACATTTAAAATACATAAGGAACACACCAACTTAGGAAATTAATGCATTCATTTCTAACATTAGAGTGTCCCTTTAAGTTACAGTGAAGACACTCACCCTCACCCCATTGAAGTCCTTCCTATCTAGGGATTTGTCACTAAAGCATGAATAGTCAGGAATTTAGACCAGTTTATCCACTGAAATCTCAACTGTAATGTAGTAAAATCCAGATATGTTACAAGCAAACCTAATCAAGATGTGATTATGACCAAGTTGAAGATCTTTTCCAGATCAGCTCTTGAAAACTCAAAATTGCTAAATGTTGTTTTGCCCCTGGCAACTTTAACTCTGGTTACTCCACTGCTGTATAACACTATAAAAACGAAAGATTATGTATTGTTAGTATTACAAATCTGTATTCCCTACACTATAGAGCCCTCTGGTGCTTTACTCCCTTAACCAATTTCAGCATTTATACCCTGCGATGTTCCACCTCCTGTGACCAGGGAAGGGTGCTAATGTGTATGCAAGACGAGCGTTATGCCATCTTTGTAGGTAGGAATTGCGACGTGAGGATGTCCAGCATCAGTTAAGCGACCAAAAGACCGTTAGGACTCAGGATGTGCCTAGAGGCAGCCTTAGTGCTTCAATGTAATCACATAGAAGACACTGTACCCTGACTACTTCAATGAGATGAAGTGGTCTGGGTGACTGTAGTGTCCCTCTAGGGCCAAAACAGCCAAACAGAAAAAAAAAACTAAATGTTAAGAACTTTAGAATTCAGCAATTTGTTTAAGTTTAGTGGTAATACACTAAACTCCAATAACACACTGACAAAATCTAGGCACTGTCAGGATGTACTATACCAGAGTTAGAAAATACTTCCACATCTATTTTTGCCTTAATTGTACCTCACTGAGAAAGACTTCAAATGAGCAAAAGCAGGCATTTGGACTGCAAAATCCACTAATTGTTCACAAGATTTACTAATGTGAAGATTTTGCAAAGCACCCTCTGAGTTACCTTGAATGGATTTCACACATATGAATGTATGAAACCTAGTACTGAATAATAGGAATATGGAATGGAATTCCAGGATTCAAACAGAATTGGCAACTTTGTTTGCAAATTTAGTTCAATCAAATGTATAGGCAGTGAACAATCCAATTATCACAATTTATATAACTCACCAATTATGAGAAAGGGTTAACACCATAGATAGGTAAAATATATCCACATAAGCTTTGGTTATAAAATGCATTAAAAAAATAAAATATTATACACATTTCAAAACAGGAATAAATCTCAAGGCATCCTTCCTGGTAAAATATTTTACAATTAAATATACACACGCATACACAATGCTGTGTGGACAAACACAGTGACTGTAGGCAAACCAGCAAATCACAAAGGTTTGTGAGGCCTTAGTGACTGCACGTGGAAATCAAAGAAAGAATTGGGAGGCTACTGCGCATGCATGGCAAATCACCACTTTGCACCAATCAGATATTCTCTATGACACAGTGTTATTGAAATAGTGAGTTTATACTCTGCTACCGGCAGAAGCGGCTTTAGTGGTGGTCAGTATGACTGACACAACAGGCAGATTAAAAGCCTGCAATGTAAACATTGCCATTTCTGCATTACTTCAATGGTTTCACTTCCAAGATTACAATCGGACGACGACGGCCATAGCAACGAGAACACTTCATTGAGAGGATGTGGTTTGAGTGCCTATAGTACCGGATGGCATACAGTGGGAGTTTAACCCTACATGTATAATTGGTGTCAGACTGTTTATCACCGCGCTGACTGACTGCCTAGACGGACTATAAAAACACTGCATAATAAATCTGTCATGGAAGCCATAACCCTGCGAGCTGCACTGTGAGCTCGGTTTACACTCAGCCTACGTGACCTCACACTACCTCAGCCAGGCTGTCCTGAGATGGCCCCAGAGCTGCAGAGCACACACGAGAAGCACGGCCCACCCCCACGTACGTGCTCTCTGCCTCTGTGAGAGACTCGTGTCCCCCGGCCCCCAGTGTCCCTATCCGCCAAGTGACAGTTAGTCAGTGCACGAGGGACTTCGCACTCAAACCGTCGGTCACGAGCTAACCCATCTCGTGCCCGCCGCACCAAGCTCTCACACCGCGCTGACCCCGCCCACTGCTCACTGCGTGGCCAATCACCACCTGAACAGCAGTCACCAATCACAGCGAGGATTACTGTTTTGTCTGCAAGCCGCTAATGAAAGCTTGGCCGCCATTGGCTCACCCTACTAGAGCAGGTGAGATGTGTGATGTGAGGATTTAGGAAACTTTTAGCGAGTGGCTATTCTGCTTTATAACGGGTACAAATGGTCTGAAACACCATGGAGGTAAGGGAATGGTGTCCACATGCAGTTCTATGAGAGGTCATCTGAATTGTAATTAAATGCAGCCTCCACATGTAATAATAGGCAATGTTGACATAACTAGCCAGTGTCAGACACCTAGTCTGTGGGATTTATTTGTAAAGTAATTTATGATTACCATAGGTTCTACACATACCTGGAGAGAAGCTGTTAAACTGAAGCCCTGCCTACAGCCAATAGCATGCGCAGAAAGGCGTCACGTGGGTGTGTAACGAAGTGCACTCTGGGAGGTGTGGTTTCCTGTGCTGCGTTTCGCCGTCCTGCTGGTAGCCTTGCAAACTACAGTTCCCGGAATGCACAGCGCGTGCTAGAAAAGCAAGCCTTTTGTAATTGCTTCAAAACAAGGAACGTTTTAATGGAAAAACATTTTTGTTAGTGAAGTGTAAACAGTTAGCCAGCCGTCCTGTGTCCTGCAGGAGCAGGTAATCACTGTAAAGGCAGAACCCTTATCGGTGCAGGTTATGTGAGGTGATCTCCATTTTGCAGACAGACAGCATGAAATAAGGTTAGGGACAGTCAATATTTGAAGCACCTTTCGTTCAGCCGCACACAGCTATGGAAAGCCTGATTGGGCTTCATCCACTAAACCAGGAATTGGGGAGGGCGTGAGACAAGGGAATCGCACATTTTAGGCTAAAAATAAAAAAGTGGTGAAGAAAATCTCTGAATTAAATTCTCCAGATTTTCCGGTTTAGCGAATATATTCCCCCCTCCCCCCCCCCATACAAAATGAATTGGGAAAACATTCTCCAGTTATAGGTTTATACACTAAAGTGAGGACTGTTGTGAATTCAAAGTGAGTTTAGCATTTAAAACCAATGTATAGGGACTTAAAGGGACACCGTAGGCACTGTATCGTCTTCATCTCATTAAACTGGTTATAGTGTCTGGAGTCCTCTGGTACCATCACTTCTTTCAGCATTAAACAGTTTTTAAAGTTTTAATGCTAAACAAGAATCCCAGGCAATCCATCCCCTCTGTGCTGCTTTGGCTAATAAGGAAGTATTAGCCTGAGCAGCAATGGACAGCTGTGATTGGCTGAGAGTTTCAGCTGACTGCTTTTAGCCTGACAGAGTTCCAACTGACGGTATGAATGGGTATGACAACAAGGAAGTGTGTAATCTCTGCCTTAGCTACACATACTGAAGGGGCCGGACAGTGGGTGGCCTGGGACTCTTATTGTGTGGCATACTGCACAAACATGGTTCAACACTGAATGGAGGAGGGACAATGCCAGGGCACTCCAGGTACTATAACCAATTCAAAGAGATGAAATGCTTATATTGACTACAGTGTCCCTTTAAGTGTCCCTCGGAGTGAGCTCTTGCAGGTCCAAATAGTGACCTACATATGTGATGATTGATGCTGGATGTTATGTGTTCACAGGAATATTTTGTGTTACAAAAGTATGTGTGCAGTAAATGCTTATACAAATGTAATCAAGAAATTGTTTCAAGATCATTTTGTCACAGCCTCTCTCTCTGGTGGCTAATTAAACTGAAATTAACACAAAAGATATAAACTATATTATTATGCTCACATGCTACATATATTTAAATTTGCCTCCATTTTATTATGCCCCCACTTTGCCTGCATTACAATGTAATGCAGGGTTCTCTGACTCTAGCTAGCCGGGGTGAATCTGTGCTTCAGCGCACATTAGAAAATTTTGTGTGCACACAGGCAGTGGGCTGTGGCCAAATCTGGAGCAGGGCCTCTGCTCCCTTACGTGCTGCTCTGTGTTTTTTGGCCGTGCAAACTCAAGGTATGTTAACATTTTGTAGGAGCATGACAGAGATTCACGGATCTGCGCAACGCATGTAAAAGAGCATAAGCCTTGTTCCTTACGCGTACGCAGCCACAGTCTGTGTGTGTACATATTTTTTTTTAAATGGTGTGTGCACACCTTACAGGGAAAAGTGCCATCAAGTCCCTCCACATCAGCACTGACTGCTTTTGTTTTGTCAGACAGATAATTGAAATAAAAGATTATAAGGACAGTACCTTGTTGCCATAACCACGTACATAAGGTGACGTAATTATGCTGCCTTGTGTGTCCCTTTAAGGCAGTGATGGCTACGTTATGGCAGTTTAGCTATTTGGCTCATTTCCTTTGATGGACACTCCAGGCACCAAAACAACAACCTAAAATAAGTTGTTGCCTCAAAGGGTTAAACGTTCTCAAACAGTTTAACCCCAAAGTTGCCTCCAACTGTGATGTCCAATACCCCTAGGTGGCATCTGGCTTCTGAATTTTCAGATTCAGGATGCATTGAGTGCCACTGGTCAGGGGCACTGCTATTTGTGTGAGAGTGGTCAGCTGAAGCTCTCAGCCAATCAGTGACTCACCATTCACTAAACTGACTTGGAAGGAAACAAAGTTTAAGGCAACTTTTGGGTTAAACCGTTTGAGAGGTTTAACCCCTTCAGGTAAGAGTTCCTCCAGGGGCCTCCTGGCACCATAACTACTTAATGTAGATCCCTTTAAGTATGTGCGCAATAGGTTAGCTATCGATGTTTGGAAAAGAGTATTCATAATACAAGTAATAATGCTTTCATTCTGAATGAAATTAGAGTTCAGAGCACGGGTATGCAACCTTTGGCATGGATGTTATTGGCTACATCTCCCATAATGCTCTGACAGCCATCCCATTGCACAGCGCTATGGAATTTGCTGGTGCTATATAAAAAATAATAATAATGCAAGCAAAGTATCAGGGGAGATGTAATCTACAATATCTGGAGTGCTGAAGGCTTTAATAAATTAGATCAGAACGACAAAAATGTAGTCCAAAACAGCTAAGCAGTGACTACACCTGAGTTAGAGAATTTTTCCACCTGTTATTTTTGCCTTGATTTTGTTGTTTTGTGAATAACCCCATATGTCGGAAATTGTAGAGGACTGAAAACTGAATTGCAAAAAAATGGTTTAAACATTGATTTGGTAAAATTCTCCATCTAAACAGTAGCCACAGCTTGGTTATTTTAGTCTGCCTACATTTTACAATTCGTTTTTAAAGTCACTTCGATCTGTTGTTTAGTCAGTAAACCTTTTTGGAATTAAGAGTGCCTGGCATGCATCCTTCTAATGTTGTGGTTGTTGGCCTCCCTGCCCTCACCACTCATTATTTGCATCAAACATTGCACTGGTCCCTCCCTGCACCACGTGACATGCTGATGTCACTGTGGCATCAGAAGCCCTTTCTCTGCATGGGAACTAGACACCACCCTGCCTGCTGCTATTGGCTGAACAGGGTTAAGGGGAAAAAAGAGAGCTGGGGAGAGAGCGAGAGACACACACGGTGGAGACCTCACTGCTGCTGGAGTTCACTCTGCTGCAGCACAAACGTGACTTCCAGCATTTGTTTTTCTTTTTTTTTTTAAATATAATTAATATTATTTATGCACACCCCTATTTAAATCAACATATTGTACTTTCACATGCAAGATGTAGCTCTGGATCACAGACTATAAACAATGTTACAAATTGCATTCTAGATTGTGAATAGAAACAGACAAAAAAAAAAAAAAGCACAGGGCGTCGTTTTGTAAAAAAAAAAAGAAAAAAGAAATTGTTTTCTTGCCTTTTTTTTCTGCAAGACGAAATCTTTTCTCAATATGGTTGTTTTGTTGAAGTAGCGATCCTGTATTGTCATTTTGTATGCATCGAAAGCATTTTCTTTTTCTTCCTCCCTGAAAGGATCTGTTTTCAAGGTGAATTTGTTGACCGAGAGAAAGAGAAGGGGTTCTCGTAAGAAAAAAACAAAAAAACTCGGATTACCAGCTCTACCACTAAAACCAGCAGAAAATCAGGATATTTGGTTGTCGCGATTTTGTGACGGGGCTTTATTAATTCATGAGGAAATTGTCGTCTTTTACTGACCCCATCTGGATTTCAGAATGAGCAAGGAAAGGCCCAAGAGGAATATCATTCAGAAGAAATATGTAAGTACAGCACGATCTTGTTGTGCGTGGCACACATCCAAGCGGACCTTTAAATGCCAAGGCTGACTTTTTCCCGTATGCATTTATTTCCTTTATAGCTGTAGATTCTTTTAGTCTATAGGAGGAGTTAACCCTTCGAATCCACGAGGAGCCAGTATTCCATAAAAATGTAACCATGATGCTCCATAACGTTCCATCTTTTTCTGTTTATGATTGCAGTGTATGCGATGACCTCAAATGACACAAACAGAATACTGTTTCTGATTAGATATGCCAAACGCTGCCCTCTCCTGCTTTTAAAAGCATGTAAACACTCCATAAGAGTGGAGATCCTAGGCTGGCACAGCTCGCTCGGCTCTTGTGGTGTCCACTTGAATATGAGGTGTAATGGCGATCTGTATAGCAGAGAAGCAGTTTGGTATCCTGTTACACATGGATGCTTTTTCTTAAATAGTCAGGAAATGTGTGTGTGTGTATGTGTGTATATATATATATATATATATATATATATATATATTCTTATTTTTATAGAGGGATGGGTATGTGGGTCACTTTTTTATTATTCTTTTTTTCCTTTGTTTTGATCTGTCATCCGGTGTTATACTTGTGCACTATGTTTAGAAAGAAAGGCCATTTCCTCCAGATAATGCACTAGATTTAAATGCCATGGCCTTTGATGTATGGGCTGGATTGGAAGAAAAGACTCTCACACGCGATCTTAACTTGTCTTCCTTTGTCAAGCCGGATACTACTAGCTTTAACCATTTGATAACCAAGGGGACTGTTCAACACGAAAGCCCACTCGCTGATACTTAACAAAAAGCTCAATATATGTTTTAAACAATTTAAAGCTGGTTTAATAGCATTTTAGCCAAATCGACCAATTTAAATAACTCCTACTTTGCGGTTTCTATTTATAATTGCAATTCAGCGATTTCATGGAGTTAAAAGCTAGCCGCATTGCAGAGGGATTGCCTGTTATTTAAAGCCACTTTTTCCCCCTTCAACTTTCTATACATAGAAGATGAGGGGCTGAACTCTTTGTCTTGATTTTCACGTTTAGCAGGTTATAGTTCTATCGAGTGTATATAAAATGCTGTGTATTTATTTCATGGAAATGGTTAAAACAATGCAAACTTGTTTTGTATTCGTCTCCCTCTCCCCATAAGACTGTTCATTGAAATCGTGCCACCCTCCAAGGAATCGTGTCGCAGAGATTCTGCCTGGCAACATCTTAGCTCCCCCAAATGGGGGGTGGTGTTTATTTGAAGAGGGAGGGCTGCAAGAAGGTACACTTGATGTGCATATCTGCGCCGAACAGACCGTGGCAGCACGATTGCTGCCTATAAATCAGCCCCCCTTCCCTCCCCCCTTTTGTGCAGCCATAAGTATGGCTGCTGTCTGCTCGCCGGCAGTACCCCCCTTCACCTACCTCCCCCCCTCCCCCCGCCTGCCTCCCTTCCTACCATTCCCATCTTGGGTTGCAGTAGAGCAACAGGTTTAGCTGGCTGCATGTCCCCGACAGTCCCCAAACAGACTCAGGGGCTGCTGGCACCATGACATCACAATGCCAATAAGTACTCTTGGGCACTTTCGTGTTGCCCATGCCAGTCTGTCATCATACGCTAGGTCTAGAAAGGGGCAGGGTACGTACGTAAAGGGGCTGGGACGTCATCAAAGGGGCCGGTCGACTAGTTTTGCCCTTGGGGAAGAGGGAGGGGGATTAAGTCACAGACACTTATCGTAATGTCTGTTTTATGAGGCGTGCTGGCTGTCATGTGTTCATGCTTTCTCCATTAACACCCGAATGCCTCATCCTTGTTTGCAGGTGTATAGGGAAGTGGGGAGGGAGGGTGTTCATGTTTGATAGGTTATATTCACATGTACACCACTACTCATTCTAACAGTAGTGTATTATGGGAAAGCAGTCCAGGCTCAAACGAGACACAATGAATGTATCATGCGGAAGTTACACTTGCTGATTCAGACACTGAGACATCTTTAAACTACAAAAATGAAAAGTGGATGCTGCTTTAAGCATGTTATTGGCTAAAAAGCAAAGTTTTCCTGAAAATGAAGTAGTTTATGTTAGTCACTAACCAGCTAACAGCTTTGATGCTTTCATTGCCATTTTG